CAGTCAGGGGTCCCGGGGGTCTAGTCAGGGGTCCCGGAGTCCAGTCAGGGGTCCCGGGGTCCAGTCAGGGGTCCCGGGGGTCTAGTCAGGGGTCCCGGGGTCCAGTCAGGGGTCCCGGGGTCCAGTCAGGGGTCCCGGGGGTCCAGTCAGGGGTCCCGGGGTCCAGTCAGGGGTCCCGGGGGTCCAGTCAGGGGTCCCGGGGTCCAGTCAGGGGTCCCGGGGGTCCCAGTCAGGGGTCCCGGGGGTCCCAGTCAGGGGTCCCGGGGGTCTAGTCAGGGGTCCCGGGGGTCTAGTCAGGGGTCCCGGTGTCCAGTCAGGGGTCCCGGGGTCCAGTCAGGGGTCCCGGGGGTCTAGTCAGGGGTCCTGGGGTCCAGTCAGGGGTCCAGGGGTCCAGTCAGGGGTCCCGGGGTCCAGTCAGGGGTCCCGGGGTCCAGTCAGGGGTCCCGGGGGTCTCAGTCAGGGGTCCCGGGCGTCCCAGTCAGGGGTCGCGGGGTCCAGTCAGGGGTCCCGGGGTCCAGTCAGGGGTCCCGGGGTCCAGTCAGGGGTCCCGGGGTCCAGTCAGGGGTCCCGGGGTCCAGTCAGGGGTCCCGGGGGTCTAGTCAGGGGTCCCGGGGTCCAGTCAGGGGTCCCGGGGTCCAGTCAGGGGTCCCGGGGTCCAATCAGGGGTCCCGGGGGTCCAGTCAGGGGTCCCGGGGTCCAGTCAGGGGTCCCGGGGGTCTAGTCAGGGGTCCCGGGGTCCAGTCAGGGGTCCCGGGGTCCAGTCAGGGGTCCCGGGGTCCAATCAGGGGTCCCGGGGGTCCAGTCAGGGGTCCCGGGGTCCAATCAGGGGTCCCGGGGTCCAATCAGGGGTCCCGGGGGTCCAGTCAGGGGTCCCGGGGTCCAGTCAGGGGTCCCGGGGTCCAGTCAGGGGTCCCGGGGTCCAATCAGGGGTCCCGGGGGTCCAGTCAGGGGTCCCGGGGTCCAATCAGGGGTCCCGGGGTCCAATCAGGGGTCCCGGGGGTCCAGTCAGGGGTCCCGGGGTCCAGTCAGGGGTCCCGGGGTCCAGTCAGGGGTCTCGGGGGTCTAGTCAGGGGTCCCGGGGGTTCCAGTCAGGGGTCCCGGGGTCCAGTCAGGGGTCCTGGGGTCCAGTCAGGGGTCCCGGGGTCCAGTCAGGGGTCTCGGGGGTCTAGTCAGGGGTCCCGGGGTCCAGTCAGGGGTCCCGGGGGTCCAGTCAGGGGTCCCGGGGGTCTAGTCAGGGGTCTCGGAGTCCAGTCAGGGGTCCCGGGGGTCTAGTCAGGGGTCCCGGGGGTCCCAGTCAGGGGTCCCGGGGGTCCCAGTCAGGGGTCCCGGGGTCCAGTCAGGGGTCCCGGGGTCCAGTCAGGGGTCCCGGGGTCTCAGTCAGGGGTCCCGGGGGTCTAGTCAGGGGTCCCGGGGGTCTAGTCAGGGGTCCCGGGGGTCCCAGTCAGGGGTCCCGGGGTCCAGTCAGGGGTCCCGGGGTCCAGTCAGGGGTCCCGGGGTCCAGTCAGGGGTCCCGGGGGTCTAGTCAGGGGTCCCGGGGGTCTCAGTCAGGGGTCCCGGGGTCCAGTCAGGGGTCCCGGGGTCCAGTCAGGGGTCCCGGGGGTCCAGTCAGGGGTCCCGGGGGTCTAGTCAGGGGTCCCGGGGTCCAGTCAGGGGTCCCGGGGGTCCAGTCAGGGGTCCCGGAGTCCAGTCAGGGGTCCCGGGGGTCTAGTCAGGGGTCTCGGGGGTCTAGTCAGGGGTCTCGGGGGTCTAGTCAGGGGTCCCGGAGTCCAGTCAGGGGTCCCGGGGGTCTAGTCAGGGGTCCCGGGGGTCTAGTCTGGGGTCCCGGGGTCCAGTCAGGGGTCCCGGGGTCTCAGTCAGGGGTCCCGGGAGTCCAGTCAGGGGTCCCGGGGGTCCAGTCAGGGGTCCCGGGGTCCAGTCAGGGGTCCCGGGGTCCAGTCAGGGGTCCCGGGGGTCTAGTCAGGGGTCCCGGGGGTCTCAGTCAGGGGTCCCGGGGTCCAGTCAGGGGTCCCGGGGGTCCAGTCAGGGGTCCCGGGGTCCAGTCAGGGGTCCCGGGGGTCCAGTCAGGGGTCCCGGAGTCCAGTCACGGGTCCCGGGGTCCAGTCAGGGGTCCTGGGGGTCCAGTCAGGGGTCCCGGGGTCCAGTCAGGGGTCCCGGGGGTCTAGTCAGGGGTCCTGGGGTCCAGTCAGGGGTCCCGGGGTCCAGTCAGGGGTCCCGGGGGTCCAGTCAGGGGTCTCGGGGGTCTAGTCAGGGGTCCCGGAGTCCAGTCAGGGGTCCCGGAGTCCAGTCACGGGTCCCGGGGTCCAGTCAGGGGTCCCGGGGGTCCAGTCAGGGGTCCCGGGGTCCAGTCAGGGGTCCCGGGGGTCTAGTCAGGGGTCCTGGGGTCCAGTCAGGGGTCCCGGGGTCCAGTCAGGTGTCCCGGGGTCCAGTCAGGGGTCTCGGGGGTCTAGTCAGGGGTCCCGGGGGTCTAGTCAGGGGTCCCGGAGTCCAGTCAGGGGTCCCGGAGTCCAGTCAGGGGTCCCGGGGTCCAGTCAGGGGTCCAGGGGTCCAGTCAGGGGTCCCGGGGTCCAGTCAGGGGTCCCGGGGTCCAGTCAGGGGTCCCGGGGTCCAGTCAGGGGTCCCGGGGGTCCAGTCAGGGGTCCCGGAGTCCAGTCAGGGGTCCCGGGGGTCCAGTCAGGGGTCCCGGAGTCCAATCAGGGGTCCCGGGGTCCAGTCCGGGGTCCCGGGGTCCAGTCAGGGGTCCCGGGGTCCAGTCAGGGGTCCCGGGGGTCTAGTCAGGGGTCCCGGGGTCCAGTCAGGGGTCCCGGGGTCCAGTCAGGGGTCCCGGGGGTCCAGTCAGGGGTCCCGGGGTCCAGTCAGGGGTCCAGGGGTCCAGTCAGGGGTCCCGGGGTCCAGTCAGGGGTCCCGGGGGTCCCAGTCAGGGGTCCAGGGGTCCAGTCAGGGGTCCAGGGGTCCAGTCAGGGGTCCAGGGGTCCAGTCAGGGGTCCCGGGGTCCAGTCAGGGGTCCAGGGGTCCAGTAAGGGGTCTCGGGGGTCCAGTCAGGGGTCCCGGGGGTCCAGTCAGGGGTCCCGGGGGTCCCAGTCAGGGGTCCCGGGGTCCAGTCAGGGGTCCCGGGGGTCTCAGTCAGGGGTCCCGGGGGTCCCAGTCAGGGGTCGCGGGGTCCAGTCAGGGGTCCCGGGGGTCCAGTCAGGGGTACCGGGGGTCCAGTCAGGGGTCCCGGGGGTCCAGTCAGGGGTCCAGGGGTCCAGTCAGGGGTCCCGGGGTCCAGTCAGGGGTCCCGGGGTCCAGTCAGGGGTCCCGGGGGTCTAGTCAGGGGTCCCGGGGTCCAGTCAGGGGTCCCGGGGTCCAGTCAGGGGTCCCGGGGGTCTAGTCAGGGGTCCCGGGGTCCAGTCAGGGGTCCCGGGGTCCAGTCAGGGGTCCCGGGGGTCTAGTCAGGGGTCCCGGGGTCCAGTCAGGGGTCCCGGGGTCCAGTCAGGGGTCCCGGGGGTCTAGTCAGGGGTCCCGGGGTCCAGTCAGGGGTCCCGGGGGTCTAGTCAGGGGTCCCGGGGGTCTAGTCAGGGGTCCCGGAGTCCAGTCAGGGGTCCCGGGGGTCTAGTCAGGGGTCCCGGGGGTCTAGTCAGGGGTCCCGGGGTCCAGTCAGGGGTCCCGGGGGTCTAGTCAGGGGTCCCGGGGTCCAGTCAGGGGTCCCGGGGGTCCAGTCAGGGGTCCCGGAGTCCAGTCAGGGGTCCCGGGGGTCTAGTCAGGGGTCCCGGAGTCCAGTCAGGGGTCCCGGGGTCCAGTCAGGGGTCCCGGGGGTCTAGTCAGGGGTCCCGGGGTCCAGTCAGGGGTCCCGGGGTCCAGTCAGGGGTCCCGGGGGTCCAGTCAGGGGTCCCGGGGTCCAGTCAGGGGTCCCGGGGGTCCAGTCAGGGGTCCCGGGGTCCAGTCAGGGGTCCCGGGGGTCCCAGTCAGGGGTCCCGGGGGTCCCAGTCAGGGGTCCCGGGGGTCTAGTCAGGGGTCCCGGGGGTCTAGTCAGGGGTCCCGGTGTCCAGTCAGGGGTCCCGGGGTCCAGTCAGGGGTCCCGGGGGTCTAGTCAGGGGTCCTGGGGTCCAGTCAGGGGTCCAGGGGTCCAGTCAGGGGTCCCGGGGTCCAGTCAGGGGTCCCGGGGTCCAGTCAGGGGTCCCGGGGGTCTCAGTCAGGGGTCCCGGGCGTCCCAGTCAGGGGTCGCGGGGTCCAGTCAGGGGTCCCGGGGTCCAGTCAGGGGTCCCGGGGTCCAGTCAGGGGTCCCGGGGTCCAGTCAGGGGTCCCGGGGTCCAGTCAGGGGTCCCGGGGGTCTAGTCAGGGGTCCCGGGGTCCAGTCAGGGGTCCCGGGGTCCAGTCAGGGGTCCCGGGGTCCAATCAGGGGTCCCGGGGGTCCAGTCAGGGGTCCCGGGGTCCAGTCAGGGGTCCCGGGGGTCTAGTCAGGGGTCCCGGGGTCCAGTCAGGGGTCCCGGGGTCCAGTCAGGGGTCCCGGGGTCCAGTCAGGGGTCCCGGGGTCCAATCAGGGGTCCCGGGGGTCCAGTCAGGGGTCCCGGGGTCCAATCAGGGGTCCCGGGGTCCAATCAGGGGTCCCGGGGGTCCAGTCAGGGGTCCCGGGGTCCAGTCAGGGGTCCCGGGGTCCAGTCAGGGGTCCCGGGGGTCCCAGTCAGGGGGTCCTGAGGTCCCAGTCGGACGCCTTGCGGATGCACTCACCGGCCCTGGGGTCGGCGGCCCGCGCTTCCCGGCAGGTGGCCCCGTGGAGCCGACGCCGGGCCGGGCGGTAACTGAGGCGCGAGCCGGGCGGGCGGGGTGGGGCCCGGGAGGGGCGGGGCCCGGGAGGGGCGGGGCCGGGCGGGGAGGGGCGGGGCCGGGCGGGGAGGTCGGGGCCGGGGAGGGGGCGGGGCCCGACGCGCGCCCACGTGACGGCCGCTATAAGAGCGCAGGGGGCGGCGCCGGGCGCGCTGCCGCCTGACCGCCGCAGAGCGAGGTCGGGCTGTCCGGACGCGGGACGCCGGGACCGAGGGGCGCTCAGAGAGGCGGACGGAGGGACGCACCGGCCTCGCCAGCCCGCGGCGCCCGCCATGGCAGGTACGCGCCCTCCCCGCCTCCCCGGCCCGGGACCCGCGCCCGGCCCGGCCGGGGCGCCCGGCGCGCTGCAGACCGCGGGGCCGGCCGCGCGGGGCCCCGGGGGCCCCCGAGTCCCCCTTCCGCGGGACCCCCGAGCTCCCCGCGCGGCCCCGGGAGGCAGGCCGCGGCCCCGGGGCCCGCAGCCCCGCCCGCCGCCGGCCCTGGCCGCCGCCCCCAGCCTATTTTTAGGCCGCGGTCCGGGGCGGCCGCGGCCCCGCCCGGCGCTGCGCCCTCCGCGTCCCCGGGCCGCGGCCGTCGGGCGCGGGAGGGCGCGGCCCCGCTCCCCCCTCCGCCCGCCGGCCCCGGGTGCGGGACCGGAGCAGCGGGGCCGGGCCTGGGCGTGGAGTGACAGGTGTCACCGTGGACGGGGGCGGGGGGGCGGATGGCGACCGCACGGGGAGCGAAAACGGCGCCGGGGCCGCGTCGGGTGTGAGGAAAGCCGCGCCCCGGGGTGACCCGTGCACCCGGTGTCCCCGGAGGACCGGGCCGCAGGGCCGACGTTCCTTGAGCAGGAAGACGAATCCATGTTGGCCCTCGGTTCCTGAGAGGCGTTTCTGGAGGTCGGTGTGTGTCCCCGTCTGTCTGTCTGTCTGACCGTCCACGAAGGAAGGACGGGCGGTCTCTGAACCCGGTGCAAGCCGGGAAGGCCTCCCCAGGAGCTCTCGGAGCTCGCTCGTGCGGTGGGGCCGGGAACTCGGTTCCAGAGAGAGGGAAGAGTCAGGTGGAGGACCTGAGTCGTGCAACCGGCCCAGGAACGGACCTCTGCTCCTGACAGACAGCTGGATTTGTGGATGAGTGAAAAGACCCCCCCGGAGTGGGGGCCCTTTCCCCACCCGGGGCCCTTGGAGCATTTAGAATGTCATCAGTGCGGGCCGCCCCTGGGAACAGCCGACAGCAAGCATGTGTGTGGACCAAAGGATTCCGCAGGCCCCAGACACCCCCAGCCCTGCAAGGCCAGGGGAAAGTAGTTCTTAATCTCCTGTGATCACCTGTTAATTGCCCCAAATTCACCCCCCCACGCCCCACCCCGGGTGCTAAGCTGCGATTTGGTGTGCTAACTCACCGTGTCTAGGCTGGATCTGATCATCCTCTAGCAAGGTGTTAGGCAACCCTGCTGAACTGTGGTCTTGAACCATTCATTCAGCTTGCTTGCTTGGCTGGTGTCTACCATTTGAGCCATGCCTCCCCTCCTGTTCTCTTGCTGGTCATTTTGGAGATGGAGATGGAATCTAGCAGGTTCTTCTGCTAGATTTAAACTGTGATCTTTGGGAAATGAGCCTCCTCATCTCAGCCGAGAGGATTATAGATGTGAGCCAGTGGTACCAGCTTACTGAACCATTCCTGAAATGACTACTCGGGGTTTTTCCCTGCCTTTACTGATGCAGTGAATTGATCTCCCAGGAGCTGATTCCACCTTTGCCCAGCACCAAGGCTGTACTGAGTGTGTTTTTCTCTGTGTTAAGATCAGGCCTTTGTGACACTGACCACAAACGACGCCTATGCCAAAGGTGCCCTGGTCCTGGGCTGCTCCCTCAAGCAGCAGGGGACCACCAGGAAGCTGGTCGTGCTGAGCACCCCCCAGGTCTCAGACGCCATGAGGTGAGCACCCCCCTGGCTGCCTGCCCTTGAGTGCTGACTCCCTTCTGTTTCTGGTTAGAAGTTGACCTGGGTGTAGAGAAAGATGAGAGTTGCTGAGTAGGGTTCCAGTGTGTGGAACCATTTCCTGTGTCTGGGGACATGCTCCTCCTTCCAGAGGCGTGTCTGACCTCAGCTGCTGACCTCAGCTAGCAGGTCTTGGGTTCATATGCTCCCTGCTTAGCCCGCCTTTCTGGTGTAACTGCTCACCTGCAACATAGTCTTCACTAAGACCTCTTTGAGCCAGTGGTTTTGCTAAAGGAAGCACAGTAAAGCACCAAGTACTTGTGGTTGAGTTAGTTTACTTTTATTATTATTATTATTATTAATTGGGATTTGAACTCTGGGCCTGGTACTTGCTGTACTATTTGAGCCCCGCCTCCAATCTGAGGTAGTTCATTTTGCTTTGTTGGGATTAAAATTTGTGGTATGACCAGAGAATCTGTGGCTTACCCCTGGAATCCTAACTACTGATAGGCTAAGATTGCTGGGATCACATTCAGGGCTGGTCCCGAAAGACAAAAGTTCATGAGATGCCTTCTCAAGGAAAAGCTGGATGTGGTGAAATACGCCTGTTTTCCTAGCTACCAGAGAGCCGAATGTAAGTGGATCGTACTAGGCATGCCTGGGCAGGAAGCAAGACTCTATCTCAAATAGCAAGCACAAATCAGGGCTGGAGGCATTGCTCAGTAGTAAGAGCACCTGCCTAGCAAGGCCAGCATCCTGAGTTCAAACCCCAGTATTGCCCCATCCCCACAAAAAATTGGGACATATGAATGAACCCACCTAGTTTCTAAGGCTAATAACTAACTGAAAAATTTCTGTACACATCAGCAGCTTTTTGTTCTGTTTATTTTTACCATTTTCTGATCTTCATAGGAATTCAGAACCCCCTTACATTAAAAAGAAAAAACATGTTAGCACGAGCCTGAGTCTGTTGGTGTGAATGTGAATCGGAAGCCGGACCCTTCCTTGTATCAACCTACCAACCACAGGCCACTTGTGCTAAGATTAGTGCCTTACCCAAGCCCTTCATACTGACCTCTCATAGACGCTTCCTAAAGTAAAAGCCAGTTAATGCTGGGCATGGAGAAGTGTGGGAGCTCACAGACCAAAGTGAGTTTCTCATTATGCCCACGGGTTACATGTCACCCCAGAACAACAGAGACCAGAAAGCCATGCTCCTTTGTTGCTCCTGGGATGCAAAGGTTCAGTCAGCTCTCAGTCAGTTACCTTAGCCAGAATCATTAGTTCTAGGCCTCATTGTGCGTGTTACAGGCAATATTACCCAGCATCATTAGCTAAAATACGCAGTGGTAAGCCAGAATCTAGTAACATATAATTGTCAAATGCATCGTTGCACAAAATATCATTGTACAAAGATGTGCTGTCCCCCGGGTGCCAGTGGCTCACATCTGCAAACCACACTAGCTGGGAGACTGAGATCTGAGGACCGTGATTTTATTTTGGCAGGAAAGCCCTAGAGACGGTCTTCGACGAAGTCCTCACGGTAGATGTCTTAGACAGTGGTGACTCTGCACACCTGACCTTAATGAAGCGGCCTGAGCTGGGGGCCACGCTGACGAAGCTGCACTGCTGGTCCCTCACACAGTACTCCAAATGTGTGTTCATGGATGCAGATACGCTGGTGAGTGTGGCTTGTGAGAGAAAGCGCAGGCATCCACGCCTGCTGACGCACCTCTAGGCCCCTGAGATGCTCGGCGAGACTCACCAGCGTCCTGACCGCCGTGACTTGCCGTAGAAGGGTCAGGTGGAGAGGGACAGTACCCCATCCATGACTGTGCTGGGTACTGAGTGAGAACTGCAGGAGGGTCTGCCAAAGGCGGTCCCAACAATGCCTCTCTCCCCTCTGCATCAGGTCCTAGCAAATATCGACGATCTCTTCGAGAGAGAAGAATTGTCAGCAGCACCAGACCCGGGATGGCCTGACTGCTTCAACTCCGGGGTCTTCGTCTATCAGCCCTCGGCTGACACCTACAGCCAGCTGCTGCAGCTGGCCGCTGAGCAGGGCAGTTTTGATGGTATGTATCCATGGTCTGCCTGTCCCGTCCTCCTTACCACTTCTAAGAGTGGCTCTTCTCAGAGGTGTCATTGCATCATGTACAAGAGATGGAGCAAGCATTTTAACGTGTGTGTGTGTGCATGCACTCACACACGCGTGCGTGCCTGTGCCTGTGTTTATGTAAATGCACCATTTTTCTTATAGAACATAAGATCAGTGCTGACTCAAATAATCTTATAGGCTTGCTTTAAGTGGTTTTTCCATCTTTAAAGAGTATGATAATTACAATGATTATTCAAAAGGAAAAAAAAGGTCTGGGTACTGGTGGCTCATGCTTGTAATCCTGGCTACTCCGGAGGCTGAGATCTGAGGACTGGCTTGGAGGATCAAAGCCAGCCTGCGCAGGAAAATACTGTTACCTCAAAATTACCTAGCAAAAAGTCAGAAGTGGAGGTAAAACTTAAGTGGTAGAGCACTAGCCTTGAGTGAAAAAGCTCGGGGACAGTACCCAAGTCCTGAGTACAAGCCCCAGTACCAGTGCGTGTACACACACACACACACATACACACATACACACATACACACACGGGTGCGTGCATGGATCTGTGATAGATGGTTTGCTGTTGGTGGAAATTGGGTTTGGTGTTGTCAGTTGGCCGGGGTCTGGGATTCGCTACTTTCTGAAACTTCCTTACAAAGTATAAGGAACTTTGTCTCAGTCTTGTGTTGCTGCTTGGCTAGTTTACAGTCTAAGCCAGTAGCTTTCAACCAGCAGCAATTCACTCCCCCAAAAGGACAGTTGGCAACGTCAGTGGCTGTTGGCAGGCCTGCTTGTTGGCATGTTTGTTCCTCTGTTGTGACAGGGTCTGGCTGTGTGGCTCAGGCTGGCCTCATACCCTCCATCCTTCTTTCTCAGTCCTCAAGTGATGAGACCACCACTGTGTGCTACCAAACCTGGCCTAGAGACATTTTTATTATCTCAACTGTTAACATCTGGCCAACAGAAAGGACAGCTCCCCTCCATAGAGAGCCCTCAGCGCCACCTGTCAGAATGCTGGGCTCCCTCTGTTTGGTAGGGGGATAGGAAAGATTGGGGTAGAGGACATAAACTGTATGCACATCATGGACATGCAGAATGGAACCCCTTATACAACTAATTGATTCTGTAAACACAGCAGGAATCTCCAGGCCAGAACACACACTCTATCTCACAAGACATACAGTCTTGTTTTAAGCAACTTAAGTAAGCAAATAATACATTGAACATTAATATTGGCCAAAAAGTGCATTTTTGCCCTTTTCACGTCTTGAGTTTCTGCTGATTTCCTTTCATAGAAAGGAATGAACGTTGTGTGTGAACTCAAGTTCAGCTGAAAGCTGTGGACTCAAGTTCAAGTTCACTGCTGCTTGCACTGTGACAGTTACCTCTGCAGAAAGGGAAGAGAACATTTAGCCAAAGTCCACTGTTTGTCTGCTTGGAGTGGCTTTCCTCTCCTCCTGTATGAAGGAAGCAAATGTGACCTGCCAGGCACCCATTGTAACTGCGCCCAGCTCCAGTGCTCACATTCTAAAATAGACCTGACTACCGCCACCCACCCAGAACATGACTGTCATCACACAGGGAGAATCCTGCGTCCAGCCCAGATGCGAAGACAGCCATGCACAGCTGAGCAGCTCAGGCTAGAGTTGTTGAGTCTGGCACTCAAAGCTGGGAGTTCAGCCTGTCTGTCCGCCATGTTCTGGTGTCCGTCCGCAGGCACTGGCCAAGCAGGTGGATCGGCTGGTACACAGGCTGGGTGAGGAAACCCTTCCTACTTTCCACCAGAAAGGGGAAGCACTGGGAGGGTCTAAGCCTGCTGGCTGCCTCACCCAGCTGCAGAGCCTCCAGCTCACCTTCCTTCCTCACCCTCACCTCCCTCACTCTCCCGCCGCCCTTCCCTTGGCTCCGCTCCCCACCAGGGATTGCACTTGCTCAGTTAACAGGAGTGCTTAGTGGAGAGTCAGGCCATCAGCCCTGCAGACGAGAACCCACAGGGAGTTGTCAACTCTCCAAATTCAGAGAAGAAGCCAGAGGCTCCTGGTGAAAATTGTGGTGTGCAGGGGAGTCACACGTAGCAAAGAAAGCTCTCTCCAGACTCAGGAGTGTGTCGCCAACTAGTACTGAAACTCGTGTTTAACTGGACGTGGTAGAGCCTGGTGATGAGCGGCACAATGGGGCTGGGACTGGTGAATGCTGACAAGCCCCTCTGGCTGCTTCTGGCTGAGCTCTGTGACCATGGTCAGAGCCCTTCTGCAAAGGAATGTGGCTGTCATTCTTCTCACCATCAGCCCCTCCAGCCTCCTCCCCGGCCACTGCCTGCGGCCCGGCAGCACCCCTCATATGGCCATGCATGCTGCATTCCTTGACTTCCCAAGTGTCCAGAGTGAGAACTTAGAACAGTGATGACACTGCCCATTCATGGCTGGCATCTTGTTCTCCCTACAGGAGGCTCTGCATCCAGTCTCTCTACTGTTCTGTATCTTTCCATTATCACTCTGTTATCTCAAAAGTGTCTTCATCACTGAAGTTCCGTTTCCCGAAAGCTGAACCCAGTTGAACTATTGTGTAGTCTCTACTAGACTAGCATTTTGTGGGACTGAGCCACCAGCACTTTGTAAGAAGCAGAGAAGGCTCCAGTCTTGTTCTCCGTGACAGGAAACTGAGTCCTGATATTGTGGGTGCTAGCCACAGGTTCACCTCCTGTACGTCCTCAAGAGAAATGAAGATGGTGTGCTTGATTCTTTGATTTTGAAGAACTGATCTGGATGCACAATGCGTTTTATTTTCCTTCCTTGTGTGAATCTAAAGTGTCTGTAACAAAGAAGACAGGAGCTTAGTGCTTAGAAACTCTGTCATCATCATTCCATCTCTCCTGTGTGCAAGCCCATCCTTTCTGACCTCTTTGGCATCTTGGCACTTGTTTTATTTACTGTAACCTAAATAATATGTGCTTTTTATTGGTGTACTGGAATTTTAGTCTATACTTGTGTTTTTGGAAAAGATAGAGAATAGGTTTGTTTTTGTTTTTGTTTTTGTTTTTTTTGCGAGGGGGTAGGGATGGCGTTGTCAGTTGTAGAGTTCAACTCTTGGCCTTGGCGCTGTCCCTCAGCTCTTCAGCTCAAGGCTAGTGCTCTATAACTTGAGCACAGCACCACTTCTGGTTTTCTGGTGGTTTATTGGACCTAGAGTCTCACAGACTTTCCTGCCCGGGCTGGCTTTAGACTGTGATCCTCAGATCTCAGCCTTCTGAGTAGCTAGGATGACAGGCATGGGCCACTGGCGCCTAGCTTAGGTTTAGTTTTAACATAAGCAGAATGTGTAATCTTCATGTTCCAGTTTCTGAGCAATTAGAGGTTCCTTGAAATAGAGTGTGATAATGTTTTGTTGTTGTTTTGGCTGAATTGCAGTTCAAAGTCAGAGCCTTACGCCTGTTGGGCACTTGCTCTACCTCTTGAGCAAGCCTCCAGCCCTCTGTGTGTTAGTTATTTTTCAGACAGAGTCTCATGTTTTTGCCTGAGTCTGGCCTTGGACCAAAATCTCCCTCTCTGTCTATGCCCTTCCATCTAGCAGGGCTACAGATGCATGTCACCGTGGCTTGCCCTGCTTGCTGGTTGAGGTAGGGTCTCACTAACTTTTTGCCTGGACTTGCTTCAAAGCACACTCCCTCCGATCTCTGCCTCTTAAGTTGCTAAGATAGCAGGTAGAAGCCACCATGCCTGATCTTTTTAATGTTGTAGATGATGTTTTACAGAACAAGATATGGTGCTAAACTTTATGAAAGTATGAGGTTGAGCCAGAGCCACCGTTGTCATCTTTGTAGTTAATGAGACTCTGTGCTATGCCTTCCTCCAAAATGGAGCTAGCCCTGGTCCGGTCTGAGCCACCTTGCTCACAAATATTCAAGAGTGCGTGAAATCCCAAGGTGGTGGATTCTGCCCTGCCTCCTCCTCCTGGGGTGGTCCTTGGCCAGCTGCCACACGAGAGGTTCTTGCTGCCCGCAGAGTGTTTTGTCAGCTGCCTTGATTCCTATCCTTAACTGATCGTTGATACACTACCTATGAGAAAGTGGAAACTGTGGGTTACATGCAGTGGCAAAGTAAGTGAACCCACAGAGAGTTTTTTACCTCATGGTACCCAGGAGTCTTTTTGAACCTAGCTCTCTGTTTTCTTTAGCGTCGCAGCTCTCAGAGATCCCGCTGTGGGCGAGAGAGACGAGGCGGGAGGGACCACCATGTGACACGTGTGTGTGTGTGTGTGTGTGTGTGTGTGTGTGTGTGTGTGCGTGTGTGCGCGCGCGCACGCGCAGGCTCCCGTGCAGCCTTTGACGTTTTCATTCATTCCTCAACAGCCCTGTGAGGAAGCCATGCATTCGGTGACCAGTATTTACTGATTGGCCTGTTTAACTACCACTGGGAACCTATTGTTGTCAGCGTCAGGATGGTGGTTTTCCTGATGTCCTGGAGCAAAGCCACATGGGAGCTGGAGTCCCTTTAAACTCTGTGGCTGAAGGTGTGTGTGTGTGTGTGTGTGTGTGTGTGTGTGTGTGTGTGTGTGTGTGTGTGTGTGTGTGTGTGTGTGTGTGCGCGCATGTGCGCGCGTGAGTGTGCGTGCTCCTACCTTGCAGCGTTCTTTACAGTAAATCTCAGTGGAGGAAGATCCCTGTCAATTTGGCGTTATTATGGATTAATTACTTTAAATTCAGTTCTCTGAGCAGACACAGCAGCTCATCTCACAGAGGAAACAGAGGCTGGGATCTTTCATCTCTGCTCCCTGTCATCCACAATGTCTGAAAGCACCTTGCCATGCTCAATCAGCACAGTCAGCAGCTGTGCAGCATTTTATGGGATCTAGGAGTTTTCTTGAGAGATTTCTCTGGCCTGCCTTTTGGTAGCAGGCCCACTTATTGTTTCAAGTCATTTTAGCCTCCAGGCTGAGCAAAGACGCTGAGTTTAAGGACCTAGAATAGATGTAAATAATGC